GTGTGTGTGTGTGTGTGTGTGTGTGTGTGTGTGTGTGTGTGTGTGTGTGTGTGTGTGTGTGTGTGTGCGCGCGCGATTCCAAGATCGCCGCGCGAATGTGTCTGTGTGTGTGTGTGTGTGGTGTGTGTGTGTGGTGGGTGGCGGGGGGGTGGGGCGACTCCTCCCCCACCACCAATCAATCAAACCCCTGTTTTTTTTTTTTTTTTTTAATTTTGCATCTGCATTTTTTCAAAACACCTCATACTTCTGCAAAAAATATAATTCATTTCTAAAAAAATACAGGTAAACTCACGGACCATATATCTCATGATAAAAAATGACCAAAAAAAATTCCTGCTTTTCTTTATATATTTTTTTTAATTTTTTTTTAATCCAATTTTGTTTTTGATTTTTTAAAAATCCAAAACAAAGTCGGATTCAAAAAAACAAATATGGGGTCTTAGGGCTTAGAATTCCCTACAACCCCATATTTTTTTATTTTTTTTTACCTATTATTTAATTCAGGAAAATTCGTGTAAAATGGCGTTCGCGGTGCGGACCAGGTAGGCCGCGGATGCGGACCCATTTGGGTCCGCGATCCGAGCTCGACCCCGCGGACGTGGCCACGGGTGTTTCGTAGGCCCCGCCCTCGCCTGCTTGTTGTGCGCACATTCTGAATTTATCTTTCTGAGCTCTCTGGGAATCGATAACCGTCTGTTCTATGGTTTGCGTCTGATTGATGATGTGTCCGTTTTTGTTAAGTACAAGTTAGATGAAGCTGGGTCACGGGACAGGGCGGAGAGTCTGCTAAAAAAGTTTGAAGGGTGTTATGATGTGAACTGGACTTTGGAGTGTACCAATCGTTCTGCATGCTGGGACTTTCTTGGCTGTGTCATCAAGGACTTTGGCCGCCCGCTCGGGTTGAAATGTGCGGCAGTCCACAAAAATCAGGGAGGTATTTTGCAAGGCATCCGTTTTCAGAATTTGCAGGATGCTTGCTCCTATACGGATAAGCAGCAGAAAATGGTTGTGATTGGGTCATTCCTGCATCGGGCCAGGAGGTTTACAAACATGCCGGGGGCAGAGCTGAGTTTTTTGTTTGCCCTCAAGGTTGAATTGAGATTGAGGGGTTTTAAGGATAGATTTTTTGATGATGTCTTAAGGAATTTTTTGAATAAATTCGGGGGCATTTGGCACATATGGGTTGATTGTCGGACAGGTTGGGACACGGTTCTGCCTGAGTGATAAGAGTGGTATGCTGCCACTGTTTTTAAATGGGGTAGTGACACATTGGTGGTAGCCTGCCACAGTGTGAAGTAGGTGTTGGATGCCTCTGGACCTGGATTGGGTCCTTGTTGAGTTGTTTCTTTGGGATTTGGTACCCGGACGGGTTCGG